AAATGATGGCGATGGCGAGCTTGTTCAACGATCAGCAGAATCCGATTCAGCAGTTACAGGTGAAATTCAAGGAAGTCGAAACTGGTTTCAAGACGTGGTTGTCGAAGCAATCTCTTCCGGTGGAAGCCGCCGTGGTATCCACCATGAGCGGTGTACAGGGAGCTTTTATCGGAGGTCTCATGGGAACTCTCTCCCCTGAAATGCCTCAGTCCGGCGTTGACCCTCAAGCCATGGCCTCGATGAAGCAAGCTCAGGTTTTTCCTAACTTCATCTTCTGGTAAAGTAAGTAAAAATCCATGTGAGATATTTCCAATTGAAATTGATGAATTGTGAATATTGTAGGCTCTTGTTGGTGGTCCATGGGTCCAGGCTCGGAATTTTGCTGCCATTACTGGTGTTAATGCTGGGATTGCTTGCGTAATGAAACGGATCAGAGGCAAAGAGGATCTTGAGTCTGCGTAAGTCTCATATTCCAACATGGTAGCTGAATCTTGCCTCCTCTTTGTAGAACCTGTAGAGTGTAGAGATCCTTCTGTTCTTGGAGTTGCTAATTCTTGTTTTGTAACAATAGGTTACTACTTGATCAACCTTGTTGCTACTTGCTAGCACCACACACCATAAACTCATCTTGTACTTCTTCTATCTGTTTAGAACTTATTTGGTGCTTTTAGGATACGTAAGAGCTCTTTCTGTTTTGCTCTTGTCGCTTTTCTGGTCACTGGTTGGTTACAGATTTGTGTCTGGTGCGAGTAAATATTTTGAATCAAGTCTTTGTGATTAAGTAAAGATGTTTGCTGCTTCTCTAGGGGTTTGATATCTGAGATTAGTCTTAAAACTTACCTACTCATGGAAGCTGAAGGTTCTCCATGGCTTGTTTGTTTCGAGATTACCTTTGCAAACTTGTGATTTGGTTTATCATTGAGAATGAAAGTTTTAGAAAGTAATGATTTGACTTTGCAGCGTGGTCGCAGCATTAGGATCTGGATTCGCATACTCTTTGGTGAGCCAAGGCTTGCAAGGACAACCGATGAATGCAATCACCACCGCCGCTGGTTTTGCTGTTTTTCAAGGAATTTTTTTTAAGGCGAGTGATCATAACTGAGAATTCTATTCATGAATCATACTGAGAAGTGAGAATTCACTTCTTACCTCATATTTTTCCCCCTTTTTTCCTCAGTTGGGAGAAAGATTCTCTAAACCGAGCCCCGAAGATCCATTTTACACTCGATCAAGAACTATGCTACTGAAGCTAGGCCTAGAGAAGTACGAGAAGAACTTCAAGAAGGGACTCCTAACTGATCCCACCTTGCCATTACTCACCGATAGG